ATTCCTTTGGTGCTTGAGCTGTCTCTTCCTGAATTTCACTTTGTAATTGGCCTCTTGAAGCATACTAGAATTTGACTCTAACTAAAGATCTGGAGATAGTGCAGGATGAGAGAAGGGCGTAAGAGAACTGGCCTCCTCTTATAAGGCAACTCCCTTAAACTAGAGCGCTTCAGTATCTTCAGGCAGAGGAGAAACAGCCTCACAGGCAGAGGGAGATACTGCTTTAGCTGGCAAGGGAGGCTCAGTGGAGTTTAGTGGTGGAAGTTCTCTGGATTCTCCAAATTCTCTCCTGTATAGCATTTTCATTTTAAAAATGTAACTCTTTCTGCATCAGCATCTTAACATATGTTCATATAAGACCCCAGGTAAGGAGGTGAATTCAACTGATTTGCAAGTCAGCAATCAGCAAGAACAAATATTAGCTTATAGTTACCTCAACCCTAGGGTTATGAGAGTTGATTTTAACAAATTCATTGTGGGTTTCATTACATGTTTTAAAATGAGAATCTGGAGATTTCCACTTTTCAATTTCTTCAACTGAAATAGCTAACCTCAGCACACAGCTCTTGCATTCCTCCTACTCTTCATGCTGTTCTATGGCATCAACAGTTAGGTCCTCCACAGTCTTGTCTTCAATGCCCACCTTAGACCTAACATTCACAGGCATTCATTTCTTCAACTGTTTCACCTATGGAAGCCTGTTCCATTGGCTTCCAGCGTCCCATCTCTGAATATTAATTGGGTTTTTATTATCTTTAAACATAATGAGTCTGGATAACTAGTCTCCTCATTTACCTAAGAGTCTGTTTTTTGTAACCAACTCCCCATTACCAGTACAAGTCAGGATTCATGGTTGCAAGCATTAGCAACCAACTGTAGGTAGCTTAAACAGAATGGAATTTGTTCAAGGCTACCAAGTAGCTCACAAAATCTATGGGAAAGTTGAAAACCAGGCTCAGGAAACAAATAGGAGCCAAAAGAGGCTGGCAACAAAAGCTTCAGCCAAGGACCTCTGTAGGAACAGTCTGGTTAGAATGCTGCCAGAACTTGGCCAAGAGCTGTTATAAGAAGAGTCTAGGCAGCATGCTGCCAGGGACACTGCCATCACCAGACCTTCTCTTCTCCTGGATTATTGACATCCTCACTCTCTCCGTAAATAACTTTCTGGTCCCTGCACCTTTGCATCACTCCTTCTGGATTCAATGTCAGAATCCCACTGAACAAACCTCAGTCATATGCTCAGGCCCTTGCTGTCTAGAAGAGGGAAGATCTGCCCTTCTTCGGTTTCCATAGTCGGAAAATTGTTGGAATGCTAGGTAAGCAAAACACACACACACACACACACACACACACATGCGTGCACACATGCACAGTCAAACCACCATACCTGGGTTTGTTTCTGGACTTGCTATTCTGTTTTATTGGTCTGTTTATTTCGTTGCCACCATGATACTGTTTTAATTTGGGCCATTTTATAATTTCTTTTAAAATCTGATAATTCAAATCCCCATCCCCCTCAAAATATTAAAAAAAATTTTCTTGACTCTTCTCAGCTTAACTTTTCTCAATGAATTTCAGAATTCTTTTATCTAGTTTCCAAGAATATCCCATTGGGATTTTGATTGGAATTGTATTATATTTATGCATACATTTGGGGAATAATTTAAAATGTTTATAATGTTGAGTCTTCTTATCCAAGAACATGGTATATCTCTCTATTTAAGTCTTTTGTATTCCTGGGTAGTTATATAGTTGTCTTCACATAGATTTGGCACACTTCTTACGTTTATGTTTTTGTTGTTAGGGTAGATAGAAATTGTTCCATTTTATTTTCTTTTAAAAGAGTTTTGGGGGCCAGCCCATTAGTGGTTAAGTTCACATGCTCCACTTCGGCAGCCCGTGGTTCACAAGTTTGGATCCCGGGTGCAGACCTATGCACCACTCATCACACCACACTGTGGCAGCATCCTACATACAAAATAGAGGAGGGTTGCCATAGATGTTAGCTCAGCGACAATCTTCCTCAAGCTAAAAAGAGGAAGATTGGCAACAGATGTTAGCCCAGGGCCAATCTTCCTCACCAAAAAAATTTTTTTAATTAAATAAATAAATAAATAAAACAGTTTCAAGGCCCTCCTTTTGGCTCAAGCAGAATCTTAACATTTTGTAACTTTACTATGCAAATAACTCTATGATTCTAATTTCCCTACTAAGCTATATGAATCATTGAGCTAAATTCTTCCTAGGTTTAGCCAGCTTCCATTACTGAATTAAATCTTATATTTTGTAGTATAAATTTGAATTTGAAAGTTAAAAGTAAGGTGTGTTTTTCAGGGGAGTAAATTCAGGAAAAAATAATCAGCAGATTTGGATAAATTGGAGGACGGTGGACGCTGCCCTAGTACTACAGTTCCCTCTAGTGGACACAAAGAAACATGGTCCTGTTTACACCGAGAATGACCCCAGTCTCTTCCACAGGCAATTAGAATCTGGAGGGGTTTTAGTGACCAACATCTCTGGCTTCCACATGAGGAAACTGAGGGACAAGAAGCAGAAATGATTGGCCCAAGTTCACATAGCCGACTCTAGGCTAAAATCCAAAATTTCTAACTCTCGTTTTTCTTCCTTTTTTCGCCACTTTCTGTCCTCCTTCCTTCTTTTTTAACACGTACTGTGCACCTGTCAATGAAGTAGGATACTCAGAATACAAATATAAAAAATATTTAGTCTTTGCCTTCAAGTCTAGTTTTCTTTCAAGCCTACTTCTTTTATCCATTCTCTAGGAATGAATTTGTTAGAGAATGACCAAACAACCGTCCAGGAAAGGTTCTCAGTCATCCACAAATCGACTCACAATGTGATTAATTAATTACTGAGATTTGACTGGAAAATACATCTGCAAATGTGGAAAGTGCCCTTGACCAGGTTCATGCCATTTCATGAAGAAAGAAGACTACATAGATACATAACTGTGAATTCTATTGCAAAAAAAGACAATAGGATATTGAAGGTGTTTGTGTGTGCTCACCACCTAATCCCAAACATTATCATTTGTGCATACTTCATTGAGCAAATCTTTATTGAGGACCGACATGCCAGGCATGTCCTAAGCACTGGGTTTAGTATGGTAAAGAGAACAGACAATGGTCCCATGATTTCTGCTCTCATAAAATTTACAATCTCCTTTTTGCGTGTGTATGTAATTCTCTAAATCCCAGGTAAACTGTTTTTCCCATTTCACTTTGGCAAGTCATATTTTTAGGTTATGGAAATCAGGGAGTATGCAAACATTTTCTAAAATTTCTCTGCTCCACCATAAGGGAAATAAATAATAAGGATTTGGGGCTAGACGGGACCGGAATTGAATCCCAACCCCACCATTTACAAGCTATTAGACAAACTGATTCGCTTCTCTGAGCCCCAGTTGCTTCTATAAAATGAAAATAATATGCATCCCTTGTGAGGGATGATGTTTTATCATTATTCTTATTAATACCTACACAGAGACATTACTTCTTGAGTCAAAAGCATGAATTACATATACATATTCCTTTCCCTAAAGTGCAAAAAAAAAATTATCAAAGGAGAAGCATTAATATTGTTCACTTAGTTTCACCAAGAATGTCATTTCCCAGAACTGATACAGAAAAATATTCATGGCCATTGACATCTTAATTTTTAAAAAATAAGGTCAAATCCTCTAACAATGGATGCTACTACAACAGCACTTCTTTAAGGCTATTTTCTTCCATGGGTAAACATGGCCTTGCTCCACAGAAACAAAGGCACTGTTATTTCAGTTGTCATGAATAAATTTGCTATGACCATTGTTTATCTATAGAAGGGATCTTTTAGTAAATTGTATCTAAACTTATCACTCCGTCTATTTAATGGTTTGACAAAGGCAAGAATCATGTTTCACTCAGCTCTCGCAGTTCTCCGGACCCAGTGGTACCTTGCATAGAGTTAGAGCATGCTAAATGTGTACTAAGTGAGAAGACCAGCTTATTATGTGTTATTTGACATGTAAGCTGAGAGAGAAAATCCAACCTAAGTTATAGGTAAACTTATTTTGTTTTACCTGGAATTAGCAATTATCAAATCCTACTCCTATAACATTCCTGTTAGAAAAAAAAAAGTAGTTAAATTCCCCAATCTCTACTCAAACCAAAGCAAAGCTTCAAAAATACTTAGACACAGAGCGAAGGAATAGGGCAGCTGCAGGGAGGACTGGTATGTTTGCACAAGGTGTGCATACAGCAGGCCAACATCCTTTCTTTGTTGTAATAGTTCCTAAAGATTGCTCCACACACCAGTCCTATGAAAGCCCAGGTTTTCAAGGTCAAATAAGTTTGGGAAACTTTGCCCAGCATTTTCTTCTCTTGCAAGTTCACAGTGTACATTGGTAAATTAAAGGCTATCAGAAGTCCTGCCTAGAATGAAGGAAACTGCTTAAAACTGTTTTACCTTGCACTCGCCAAATTTATTTGACCAAAGTTTCACCTATAAACATCCTGCAGAACTAGTGGGTTCTATGGAACACACTGACTTGGGAAACTGCCCCACTGTGTTCAAAGGATCTCTTTATCGTGTTAACTCACAAAAAAAACTCTGCGATTTCATCTCCAAATCCTGCAGGAATGAGAATGTGGTAATTTCCAGCAATGTTTTAACTATGGTAAAATGGCACCACTTTGAAGGTCCCAGAAAATTAACACAATTGAATTTTACTTATGTAAGAAGAGGTCAGTTTGAATCCAGGAGATGGCTCCCCAGCAACACCTGGAATGTTGTCATAAAAACTGATAAACAGATGTCCAAATCCTGTTTTGTATCCGGGAGGGACAGAGAGAAAGGGGAAAAAATGTAAAATTATCACCGCCAAATCTCACTGATGTTTCTTACAGTTTTCTTCAAATCGATATACAGTATCCATTTTCCTTTAACTCCATCTTGGAGCTTCCAGTTTATTTTTGCGTGTTTCTAATTCTCCTCTCTAGATGGCAGCACAGATGAAAGAATGCCAGAAAACCTTGGCGTGGGCCACCGTCAACAACAGCAAACAGCTATCAACAGCCCGCCCCCAACTCACCCTTCCTTTTTTTAGAAAAAAACAGAACCTAAGGTATGATGACTGGCACTTAATCGTCTCAAATAGATTTAATCGGTTATACGGGGATGGAAAGAATTAATGACAAACTGGTATCAGTGAATGAGGAAACTGACAACTTAGCAGCAGCTCTCCCATGCTAGTTGTGTTTTCTGTATCTTAAAGATAATGTCATCAATGTTCCTATGTTGTGCAGAGTGCCACTTAGCATGGTTATTTGCATCATTACGCTGGGCATCTGATACAGCCAAACTCCAAGGCACCTGGTTTGCTATAAATATTAGATTCATTTAAGATATATAACGATGCTATTTACTAACCCTTTTGTCAACTGATGCTTTGAACCTGCTGTAAAGTGATCGCACCATGTCACCAGATGCTGCACTGAAGCTGAGGAAGTTAGCATGAAGGTAACACTTCATTAAAAGCATGCAACTTACTGTGAAATTAATAATGCAAGAAAAACGGAGTGGAGCAGACTTAGAAGATCTTTATACTTTACGTCAAATCTCCACTAAGGATTTTTTAAAACCTTATTTTTCATGGTATCATTGAATATCTTTGTTAAACAGTAAAATGGGGTCTAACTAGCAAGATGTTCACAACAAAATCTGCTGACAGGGAGAACATAGGGAAGCTGGCCCCTTCAATGTATGGCATTTCAAGAGCTTACGAGTACTCCAAAGAAAACTAAGTTGTTCATGTGTAATGAACTGGACAAAAGCTAAAATGTGACCTGTGCCTTTTAAACAAACAAAAACGCTCACCATGGGGAGTAAAAATAAATATAGTACAATATAAACCAGCCTGAGGCCAAGTGGATTGTGGTTCATATTTAAGAAAAAATCAGTTTGCAATGTATCAGAGTTCTTTTTAAATTCTCTTTCTCTCTCTCTTTTTTAAATGAAATCAAACATTCCAGGAAATTACTCTAAACACTACATCTTTCCTTGAAGGAGTACCTTTTGATATTCCTTGGGTTGAAATTAGTTAATTCTTTGGTGAGTCAGGCTATCTGCTTTTCCGAAAACAACTTCCGTTGCTCTAAAGTCACTGAATGCTTTTCCCTGGGCTCTAAGTTTAGAGACAGAACCAAGCCCTAAAATGAAGAGGCCAAGAGGCACTGAGATAGTGCAGAATATGAGGGAGTGAAGGAAGCTGGGATAATGAGTGTCACCCAGCCACCGGCCTGCATGTATCTCAGGGGCCGTACCATCCCACACCATCCAGAGCTGCAGGCCAGCAGCACTCAGCTCTGAGCTTTTCCCTGGAGTCAAGACTCATCTCACTCCTTCCAGAGACCCAGGAGTCTTGGAGGTATGACACAACCAGGACAAAGCTGAATCCTGAGAGACCTGACCACTTAATTCTCCTGCATGTACGCAGCTGCCAAACCCACCGTGTCTCAGACCCTTGATATCCTTGATGCGTGCCCAAGAGGGAAGTGCTTTCAATGAGTTATCCCCTTATGAACACTCATCCCCAGACTTACTAAGCCTCCCATGCCTCCCTTTCCTCCTAAACTTTTCCTCTGTAACCTCCAGAATCCCATTCCATCATCAACAAAGTCCCTGATACCCCCAGCCTCTTCACTGAACATTCTTTAGCTTTCTAGCTCTAAGAAACTGGCTTTCCCTGTAAGCACACTGTTTCCTCGGCAGCCCTCACAATTGGAGGCTGCTGGGTCAGGCACTTTCTGTCACACACTGCCATTTCCATGGGTCTCAGTTCTCTGCTGTCTGAAACCCTGGCTACATAGCCATTAAGTCACACTCTCTACCCCAGCTTTCATCTACTGATTGCCCGGTAATGCCCTTTGTTTATTGAAGACATTGGCAATGGGCCCACAGTATTCCTTTTCATTCCAAATTCTGCCAATAATCTGGCACATTTGGATGTCATGAGGCATACATGACCTCTCAGTTCCTTGATTTCATCTCTAATTACCTTCTCCATTCTGTTTCAATCACCCAATCCCACGGCCACCCCCAGGCTTTATCATCCAGAAACCACAGCACCTTTGAACCCATAGCTTTCTATTCTAGTTCTTCTCATTTGGTTATTTTCACTCTATCAATTTTCCAAACTTGTTAAGACCTCTAGTCTTTCTGTTTTCTTCTTTCTCCTTATCTATCATCCATTTGCTGTCTCCTTTTCCTTCTCTACCCAGGAAGGATTCCGTGCTTTGTAATGTTGGCCTCTGGCCCGTGTCCTCAACTCCATTGTCCATTACTCTTCTGTTTCGTCTGCCTGACAAAACTTGGAAACATGTACCTTGAATCTACTTGTCTGATTTGGCCATTCCTTTACCTGGGCTGCTGGACACTGCTGGAGAAAACCGTAGTCACACAGATTGTGCTGCCCTAAATTCATGCTCAGCAACCTCAAATGGATCTTCATTGCTTCTGCAATCCTACCATATTCCCCTGACCTGCTTGCTTTCTTTCTGAGTCTCCAGAGCGGCTATTTCAAGAATTCTTCTCTCTTTCCAAACCTCCATACTTGCCTTCTTTACCATTCTCTAGAGGTGATTTTATTTCCCACTTACTGGGGGCGAGAGGAGGGGTGGTAGAAGTTATGAGTTGCAGGCAGCCTCCTTTTCCACGCCAACCTGCAAACTTATGTGCATCTTCACCTTCTCACCTCTTTCCTCAACTTTGCCTCTTGGTATAAAAGATGTTCCCTCTCCCATCAAAGGCCGATCTCTTGGCCCATCCTCTGGATTCCATCTCCTCCTGACTTTTCGTTGACCTCACTCTCAGTTATTCTTTCTCACTTTATTTATATAGTCAAGCTCTTCCTCTCTGCTGGCTCCTTCCTTCTCAAGTTAAAAAGAACACATTTTGGGGCCGGCCTGGTGGCATGGTGGTTAAGTTCTCACACTCCGCCTCGGCAGCACGGGGTTCTCAGGTTCAGGTCTTGGACACAGACCTACACACCACTTGTCAAGCCGTGCTGTGGCAGCATGCCACATACAAAATAGGGGAAGATTGGCACAGATGTTACCTTAGGGCCAATCTTCCTCACCAAAAAAAAAGAAAGAAAAAAGAAAAAAAAGCTGCATTCCCCTCCATCTACAGCCCTCTCTTCCTTTGCCAGCTAAACTTGGAAAACTTGTCTCTGGTCACCGCTTCAACTTTCCCACCTCCCACTCACTCTCTGAAATTGCTTTCTCCAAGGTGAGTGATCTCTCTGTAGCTAAATTCAAGGGACACTTTTCAGTTCTGTCTTTATTTGACCTTATGCAGCATTTGCCTTGTCCTCCTTCTTGGTAACTTCTCTTTCCTGTGTGTCTATGACACCATCTACATCCTCCCAGACATCTCTTTCTAGCCCAGACCTTTCTCTTGAGCTTCAGACCCAGATAGCTATCTTCTAGTCTGCACCACCTGTAGGTTCCATGGGCATCTTAAACTTAAACTGCACTCATTTCCTCTTCAAACCTTTACCTCTTCCTGAATTTCCCCTATGAGTGGCAAGCACCACCATGGACTCATTGATGCAACCAGAAACTTGTGTATCATCCTTGACTGCTTTGTTTTTACCACCTCTCATGTCCAATTGCAACACCATGAACTCTTTTTTTTAATGAATTTTTTATTGAGGTGACATTGGTTTATAACATTATGCAAATTTCAGGTATACCTTATATTTCAATTTCCGTGTAGTACCATGAACTCTTGATTCTGTTTCTCCTATCCTTTTGCTTATCTCCTTCCTCTCTGCCACCATCAAGCCTTACCTAAACCACTGGTCTCCCTGTTTCCATTCTTCCTTTCAAACCGTTTCCCATACAGTAGCCATGTGATTGTAACAAACAAAGAATCTCACAGATACAAGAGTCCCCAAACACTCAGGTACGCAAAACTGAAACATCTTTTCCTAGAGTAAATTAAATGTCTGAATCTGAGCCTCCAGCCTTTTTCCTGCCAGACAGCTTAATTTAGATTCTCTCAAGCGAATTCAGTGATTTGTCTGAAACTGAGATTAAGTAAGTATTTCAGTTCAGAATTCGATTTCAGAACTTCCTTCCCCTCTTCTTGCCCCTTTCTTGGGTCTCCTTGGACTGGCTGCCCAAGGGAAGTGGAGAAGAATGTGGAGGTCCATATATGATTGGCTACATGTTGTGATGGAGTGGGAGCTCTCCATCTAGTCTCGTCTGGGGTGGTCCTAATGCTGATGGGAGCTGCTAATGCCATTGTTGTCCATGCTCTGGGCACAGGTACGGCCCAGTGTGCCCTCTAGGTTTTTGGACCCTGCTGGCTCTGATGGGTGGTCCTAGGCTGGCTGGGTACACATGCAGGTCCCATGTAGCTTCATCTCACAGACGGGCAGCCACAACCCCAGCAAGCAATCCAGGAACATCTCTTCATTTTGTCCAGCACATCTCCTTCCAAGTCAGGTCATTTCTTCTCCTCTCCCAGCACAGAGGGGAAAAATCAATTCACATTTACACATTTGTGTGAATTGTTTAATCTCATTGTTTTGATCTCTGACTAAAAGTGCAGAGCCCTTTGTATGTGAATTTTGTAATGTAGAGTCTGGGTCTCCTCAGCAGCAGACTATCTCCACAATAATTAACATGCTTTCCACTCTACTGACAAAAGAATCTGGTGGTGGTGTGTGTGTGTGTGTGTGTTGGTGGGGTCACAGGGTGCAAGTTGACAGCCCAGAGCCCAAGGAGAGAGCTGAGTAAAGAGAGTACATTCCATTAATACTTCACATATCATCCTGTCACATGCTCTTTCACAATCATAAATCAGATCATTCACCTGCTTAAAGCTGGTCCGTAGCTTCTCATTGCCCTTAGGATAAAGTGTAAACTTTTAAACTTGACTTAAAAGTTAAGATCTGTCCCAAGTTTACCTCTCCCACCTCATTACCCACAATTTGCCCTCTTCTTTCAGTTCCATGGGCTCACCATGCCCTCTCTTACCTCTGGACTTTCTTACATTCCTAGATTTTCTCCAACTTTTCCCTATACGTGGCTAATTCCTGCATATTCCTCAGGTTTCAGATTAAATTCCACCTCCCCAGGGAAGTCCTATTTGACCTCCCTCCTACCCCTGACTTTCATGTGTCCCTTCTATGCACTCCCATAACCTTTTAATGTCATAGCACTTATCATGTTTTAATTTTTTTAATTTATCTCTCTCCCAGTAGAGTATAAATGCTTTTAAGGCAAGACTGTGTCTGTCTTGATCCCTGTTCACCCTCCAACACCTACATGTGCTTGACACATGGTAGGTGCTCAATAAAGATTTGTCAAGTAAGAAATAAATGAATTAGTGAAGAAGAAATTGAATATGCAAGTCAGATATTAGCTTAGGAAGGATGAGTATAAGGATCATTACCTCTTGAGACTCTAACTAAGGTTAGAGACCAAAATTGGTATTGGCACTAGTCCACATAATTGTGTGATTTTCTTTAATAACTTGGGTTATTAATGGTAATATCCCAAGAAATGGGTGGTGGGAGAAATGGGAGAACATGGGTGGTGAATTGATCCAAGACATGGGATTTTCTGGAAAGATAGGGCAGAAGGATCAAGGGGTAAGGAGATTGATGATGCTATGAAAAAGTGTTCAAAGTAATGGACAATGGCATCTAAGCTCAATAGTTATAAAACTGAGCCAGGATGGTGCTGATAGATTGGCATGAGAGAGAGTACAAGAGGGGTCAATAAACTGGATGTTTTGATGTAGTGAAAAGCAAGTAAGAAAACTAGCATACTAAGAAACAGAAGATGTAGTACAGAGAAGGGTCATGCCAGATGCAGTGTTTGCAGGGAGTGGGAAGCCATGGACTACAGGACCTAAGAGGAAAACAAACCCTAGAAAGGAGAGGATTCCCTTATTCCTCTGAAACAAGAGGGAAGGAGAAGAGGAAATGTCTTGTTTAAATATTTCTTAGTAAAGAAGAAACAGAAAGAGGGTGTTCACATTGTAGAATCTTGATTTCTTCCGTTAAGCAAGATGGGAAAGCGATATGCAGCAGGCAGGGTTGGGGTGTGAGGGAAGTAGGAAAGATTTAGAAAAGGAGCTGTGGGGAATGTGGTAGGAACACACCTACCTTGACTGGAAAATCAGAGAATTGCCTGTTAGTAGTACTGAGAGCGCAGCTGGAGCCAGTCAGCTGACGTGAGTTTGCATCAGATATTTAAATTTTCTCCAGCAGTATCTTCTGCTTTGGAGCAGAAACAGAAAGTAAATGGTGGGTTTCGTTCAGGAGTGGGGATTAGGAGGAAGGAATGGATGAAGGACCATGGGGATGAGGGCACCTATCAGGATTGTTGCTGAAACTGTCAGCACTGGTAAAAGGCTGCGGAAGGCAAGCGAGGGCTGCTGGGTCCTTGGCACCATGAGAACAGCAGTGGGTGAAGGAGCAGGGGTCACAATGAGGAGGACAAACAGAAAAGTTCAGTGGCCTTGATAAAAATTACGCCAGAATCTTCCAGATATTTTCTTCATAGAGTGAAAAGGTGAATGCCCCTTTAAATCATTAACTAAACTAGCATTCAGAGCTGAGCAGACTCTCCCAGGTTGGGCTGTTGTGCTTTGCCAAGAATTGATAAACTCCTGTGAACCCTCCAGGGCAGGTGAGGCATGATCCATCTTCCCTGTCTGGACAAGCTTGATCTGGCCTCCCTCCTCCTGCTGAAGCAGGCCTGAGGTATGTGCCATGATTCCGTGTCTTAGACTAATTATCACATTCCAGAATGTAGGACTCCTGCTGTTACAGCTTTTAGAGGGCCCTGCTCTGACCTCCCTGTCTGTGTCCCTCCCCACAAGGTGAAGAGACTGTGGGCCCACGGGGATGCACCCATTCAGAACCCACACTGATCCCTTCTAGACCACACTCTAGATACCTTGGACCACTTCAGAATTCCTTGCCCAAATGCTCCAGGCCCACTTTCAAAGGCCTGCCTACACTCCTTCTCAGTCTCATCCTCCCAAGGGCAGACCATGCCGTTGGTAGATGCACTCCTCAGCCTCAAGGAGGCCAAGGGGAGCCTCAGGGATGGGCACAGAGCGTGGATGTGCGGCCTGGGATGTTAACACTCGTGCCTGAGACGCCCTTCTCAGCCAGAGCCAGGAATGAGAAGACAAGGGAGACAACTTCAGCCTGGGGTCCAACTCTCCCCACGCCTCCATGTCCCTGCGCAGAACTCCAAGGAGTCTAAGAATTACACATTTCAAGTTTGGCCTTCAGGTCATTAGAAAGATAGAGTTATCAAGTTAGGAAATAGAACATATTTGATTTATAACTTTTACATAGTTAGGCACATGGAATACAGGCCTCCGTTTGTACTCTTGCCCTTGGTCCCACAAATGTTAGGAGCAGTCCTGGATCCTGCAATGTGTTATTTACCTGTTGTGAAGAATAACTCTTCAAAATTATTATTCTAAGTTTATTTAACATATAGTTAGGTCCAAATTGTATCCCAAGATGGCAAAAAATAAAAATTCGTTAAAAGTTCTATTGGGATTTCTAAAAAGTTTTGGTAGCCTAAGACCTTTTCCTGATTTTTGATATAGTTTGATGTTATTTGGTAGAGTATGTTTCCCTTTTTTATTAATTTCCGTATTTAAGCTGAATTTTCTTTTTTTTTTTTTAAGATTTTATTTTTCCTCTTTCTCCCCAAAGCCCCCCGGTACATAGTTGTGTGTTATTAGTTGTGGGTCCTTCTAGTTGTGGCATGTGGCGTGCCGCCTCAGCATGGCTTGATGAGTGGTGCCATGTCTGCGCCCAGGATCTGAACCGGCGAAGCCCTGGGCTGCCAAAGTGGAGCACACGAACTTAACCACTCGACCACGGGGCTGGCCCTAAGCTGAATTTTCTTAAAAAAACCTCTTAACCTACTGTGACAT